TGTTTTTCATGTAAGAGCAATTTGATCTATGCATAAGGACGTTTTAGCCTGGGTTTTTTTCTTAACGAAAATTATTCGGTAGTTCATAAACTGAGCGCGCACCGGTACAATTTCGACGTCACTGACAACTTAAGAAACCCAATGTCCGGTGAGTCTCCACCATCTAATTATTGTTCCGCAGTAACTGAAATTTTTGACAAAAGCAGATAAGAATTCTAAAGAAGAATCACTAAGGATGGAGCGCGAACATAATTAGGTAATACCCGACGTTTTCCTAACCTGTCAGTGATAATAGTTTATTATAGAACTGGTCAAAGCGAAAATAAATAATAAAGAAAAAATAACAGTTGGAGGGTACGCGATTTGAAAAAAAGCTAACTATTATAAAAATTAACCTGCCACTTGGATACCTGGGTAAAGTTAAATAAATAGCACGGTGAATGACACATTAAGAAACACATGACGTGGCTTACTATTTTCGCGCTTCTTGCTTAATTCGATCTTTTGGCGTAATTCGAGTTTGGGGATGTGCAGGTCTCGCCCCGGTTTGAGTTTCAAATTTTTAAAAGACTATGGAAGAAACAACAATGGAGAGGGATTTACGGCGTCTCTGCATCAACGCTGTAGGCCCCTCTCCTTTCAAGTGCCTACTACTTGACTCTTTTTATAAGCTTCCTAAACATTAAAACGAATGTCATTTTGTTAATAATTAGCGCTTCATTAACCTAACTATTAACGACGCGCTTGCAATTAATAGATATTTGGAACTGCATTTAAGAAAATAATTGCTCTCGCCGCCTTTGAAGCTTGACGTCATCTAGATCCCTATTTTTACAGCGGAGCTGTTAAGGGCTAGGTGCCCCAGGATCGTGTCCGTGTATGTCGACACAAACCTACCTGGACAGCTTCCGCCATCTAAAAACGACGGCGGCAAGCACACAACCAGTATGGTTTCATCCGTCGCTCGAAGGTAGCTGCAACATTTCCAGTTATAATAGAAGAATGGATAGTTGGGCGCGTTGGTGGGAATTCATCGTAGGAAAGAGCGCGACAAACAGACGACGACGAAGAAGCACACAGTGTATTGTGTACACCTCCGCTGGTCTTCCTGCTTCACGAGAATGAAAAGACCAAACGTTTTTTGTTCTTTTTTTTTTTTTTTTTTTTTTTTTGTAGACTCGCGATGTTTTTGCCATAGCTGCTCGGGCATTCTCGTTGGGAAATAGTGAATATTGTCTTTTTTTATGTTCAACGTCTACCTCTTATCACTTTTAGGAAATTTCATTGTGTTCCAATTCGTCATTTCTTTTATTTTTCTACAATTTCCACGTTTACTCGCTTCGCTCCAAAAACGGGCTGGCTTCATCGAGAAAATTTGACACAGTTAATGACCCCTCTCCTTTCACCATCCTGTCTTCCGTTTCGACGAAGCTTTACACCGCTCACGGGCCGTTCTCAAAAAAAAGTATTAATATTGTTAAAATTGAAAACTCTGCGCTTGGTGAAGCGTCTCGTATAGCCCAGAAGACCAGGTTTAAAATTGAGAGTCAGCAGGACGCTGTAGCTGTTTCTTTTTTAATGTAGGAGGACATAGTTTCCTCAATATTTATTTACTTTAAAAAAAATTAAAAGAACCTTGATTTTTATTAGGCCGGTTATTTAAGGCATTCTACCGTTGACTCTGGTTGTTCCTTGAAGCGTGAAGCGTCTTAGAAGCAGCGGATTTACGAAACTAGAGCACAGTACCGTCAACGGAGGCTAAAAAAAAACGCAAGGTGTGGTAAGGTGGCAGTTTGAGCCAGAAATTGGTACTTCAAAATGATAAAACAGCACACAGAACACGTCCGTGTTCTGTGAGTTGTTTTATCATGTTCATGGCAAGGGGTGGCACCTTATTTTCTGGCTTCTTGCATTCTGGTTCGTTCGTTTTTAAAAAGAAAGCCTCACATCTCCCGTTACGCGAAAAAGCTGCGGCGTTGGGCCAGAAAGATGGCAAAATCAACACGACATCAAGCACGCGCCTCAGAAATGAAATACAAGGGAAAGCACGGCAACGCAGATGCTTCGTCACGAAAGCCGTCGTGAAGCCGGCGGGGTCTACCGTGTCTGCGCAGTGGAGGAGCGTGATGTCACTGCCGGAACATAGTGCGCGAAAGGAACACGTGACTCGCTGCTTGTAGGAACGCGCTGCGTGTAGGAGTGCTCTCGCGTTCCTACACGTAAGCAGGCTTAAGTGTCTTCGTTCATTCTCTTAATTCAGCTGTTTCTTAAGCTGTCGAGGACTATATCAGCGACTCTACTTACGGTGCCTGGAACGCGTATCCGATTTTTATGTTTACTGCGTCCGAAAAAAGCGGCCCCTCCATTTTCACCTGATGATGTCACCGAAGGCTCGCGCTGTGGCCGATCGCGATCCTGGCGGCGTCGCCGCAGCGTCGGTGGATGTGGCAGACGCCTGTTCTGCAGCAGGTCGCTCGCCAGCTTCACGGTTCACAGAAACTTTGGCAACCGGAAGTTGGGAGGCCGCGGTGGCAGCGACACTCATCGTTCGCTCGTGCTTCTTGCCGGGACTTCTATAGTGCCAATCGTCAGCACCGCTATAACCGACAACAAGACACACCGTCTTCTTTTTTGTTTGTGTCTCACGTAATTTTTTGCCACTTATGAACCACCTTTGATGTATGGGAGGGGGGACGCTAAACACGCCAGTATGAGACGCGTTCCGCGCACCAAGCTGCAATCATTGATTGCTTAAGAAACTCAAGTCATGGCTCATTTTGCTCGCACTTCTTGCATTTGTGACTGGTTCTTCGCCGTTGTTATCTGTTGGTGCAACAATTTTATTGCTTGCAAACCCAGAATTTAGAGGATAAACTAAATTGGCGTATAGGTCGCATGACATTGATTTTCTCGCTAAATTTAGCAGGCAAACTGAATAGGTGCTTAGGTCTGTGAAGGCCCCTCATGCAGCGCTGCGCGCTTTGCATTATCCGAGGTACGTCACAGAAATATACACCAATTCAGCTTCCCCGCTAATTTTAGCAAAGAAACTGAACTTATCTATTGATCTGTGATGTCCAATACTGCAACACTGCGTGCGTTGCATTATGGGACGTTACAGGCCACAGCTTCACGATATGCGGCTTCACGAAAATTGTAGCAACGAGCCAAAGAACGTTTCACGTTTATAGGATTCTCGGGATTCGACATACACTGCGTTTCCTAAGCCACCTGTGACTGTATAGTGTCTTGTCGTATTTGAGTCTTTCTTCATTTACTAGACGGTCCTCTTCGACGTGCTACCGAGAAGACAAGATAAAGACCAAGCGGAGCTTCCGTGACGCCGCAGACAGGTGGACAACGCCTTAGTACACTCTAAAAAAAAAGGTAACACCCTACACCTTTTTTTAGAGCGCAGCTCTTAGGGGCCCGTTTCCGGCTTGAGCGGCGTCGGCTTCGGCGTCGCCGTTGGCGTAACCGCGAGGTCACGTAACCCCCCCCCCCTCCCCCGAGGTCACGTGACCTCTGAGGTCACGTGATCCCCCCAGGACACGTGACCACTCCCCCCCCCCCCCCCCCCCCCGAGGTCACGTGACCCCCCTGAGGTTTTCCAGTCAGGCCAAGGAACCCCGATTACTTTTTTGTAGTGAGTAAAACGTACATTAGCTATTTTATTCAATTGTACCACGCGGCTATCATGCCTCTCGTGAAAGTTAGTACCGTCAGATCGACGTCAATGCGCTGTACGTCGAACTGAAGTTTTGGGGTGTATTATATGGGACAAAGGGTATAAGAATACACCTTTGTTTTCTGGGAGTGTATAGATCTTTGCATCGCTTATCACCAGGGCGAAACATGCTGAGTGACTGAGCAGTGGACGCATGCGCAGCGTCCGATATGCCGCACAGCAGAGCTACAGAACATGCGAAGGAGGCGCTCCAGAGCCGAACAGACAAAGATGGCAGCGCGCAGAAGGCAATTTTCTCAAAGGTCTTGTTGCGAAAGGCCCCCGGAGACGACCTTGCCGTTCCATACCGACCGGCACAGGTGAACGCCCTGGAGCATCGTCGCCAGGTGGCTACGGTCAGCTGCGCCCCGGAGACAGAGCGAGAGGCGCTCTGGAGTCACCAACGCACCTTGGTTTGCGGGGACGACGTGACCTTCTCCGAGGGATCATCGGGTTGACCCACGCCAGCGTCATCTGACCGTCTTTTCGGTCCGGTCCCTCTCTGTCTGACCTCGAGGCACGGCGACCCGACAGCCTTGGAACGTCCTCGACGAAGGAGGGGGCTTTATTCAATTTTCCCAGCTTGGATCGCCCTTGGGATTATCCCCTACCACACGGAAGCCAGGACGCCTGCAATTATGGATGTCTTCCGTATTCCTCGACTCTGATGGCACCACCGTCCCCCGACATCGACCGGCGACAACGTGGCCAAGGATGTCTGGCCCTTCCGTGTGTGTCGCGTGTGGCAGTGCGAGGGAGAGTGAAGTGGCGTGCCTGGACGTTACGAACAAAGGAACCCTGGGGATTCCCTACTGGGGATGTGGGGAAAAACGACGTTATAAAAGTAGCAGCCAGCGGCTGCTACTGTGTGTTCTCTTGTATTCTCGACAGTGTTCTCAAGTGCTGTTGAAATGATGTAACCTGTTAATATGTATATATAAAGAGCTATATTATTTAAGAGACACCCCTCCTGCTCCCTGGTCCTTCGCGAGTCCGGCCTCTACATGAGCTCCTGCCCTGGCTCGGCTCCCTGCCGTCCCCAAAGTCCCCGGACAACCACACGTTCCCAACAACTGGTGGCAGCGGTGGGATGGACTTCGCCAGACCATGACTTCTTGTGTGGGTGAGTGCCCGGCTCTTTCTTTCTCCATCTGCCAGACCCATTAGCTCTAAGTTTTGCTCGTGGGGGTTGGAGATAGTCGTTGTCAGAAGGACTGTCTGTCCATTCTGACGCGAGCTTTTTGTGAGAAGGAGGGCCAACAGAAGCTGGATCATGAGTCTCGAGGCATTCCGTTGGCATGAGCTGGTACAGGTCTGTACCGAATTAGGGATTGATTTGGGGCAGACAAAACGAAAACCGCACATCATAGAACTTCTTGAGGCCGAAGACGTCAGTGTTGAGGAGTTCACAGAGGCTCCGGAGGAAGTTCGCGCAAGGGAGCGGGAGGAACGCAGAAAGCGGGCCGACGAGGAGGCTCGCGAGAGGGCGAGAGGGAGATTCGAGTGGGCTCTCAAGTGTGAGAGATGGGAACTCGAGAAACGCCAGTACAAGCGCGAAATGGAGCGGCTCGACTACGAGTTCGAGCATCTCGAGCTCGCGAAGAAAGCGCGGGAGATGGAGGCTCTTTCTCGGACGGCAACAGGCGTTGAAGGGGTGACAGGAAAGGCGTGTCAGGGAAAGGAGAAAGTGGGAGCTGGGGACACAGAGATGACCGGAGACCAGCGTCTTTCTCCCGACACGGCCGTCACCGCTCTTCGCAAGCCCCACCTGAACTCCGAGCGGCGGAGCGGTGAGAGTGACGTGGAAGCAGCAACAGAAGTGGTGTGTCAGGAAAAGAGGAAAATGGAAGCTGGGGACACCGAGGTGACTGGAAACCAGCATGTTTCCTCCGACGCGACCGACGCTGTTCCACGCAAGACTGACGCCGTTCCGTACAAGACCGACCGAACGCCCAAGCGGCGCGAAAAGGAAGAGAGGGATCTTCGGGCGTCTGGCGGCGACTTCCCGGATGACGAAGGCGACGCCAAGACGGAGACGACGCCGGGGAAGTCCATCCAGCTCACGGAGAGCAGCGCCTAGATGCCGGAGAAAGCGGTCCAGCAAACAAATCAGGATCCTGACCGCTCGGATCGGCACCCGTGCGGCTTTGGGACCAAGCCCACGGTGCCGTCGCAGGATCCCAAGCGGCAAACCAGGAGGGAGGTGATTGAGATTTCCTTCGACAAGATCAGCCAATCCTGCCTGGTGCGGTTGCGGAGCCCGGACTCCAGACCATTCACGAAGTCCAGGCGCAAGGAGGACGTCGACCAGTACGCGTCCGGAAGAGAGTCGTCATCGAGGTTGGAGGACGGGAGACCCCAAGTTGGCCATCCCGAGGGACCTGCAACCGGCGGCGGCGTCGCAGGCAAGGGACCCACCTGGGACACCAAGGAGCCCAGGCTGGTCAAAGCATACCCGACACCAGTTCACCTGAGGCCATCGCCGTGTTCGCGGCATGATGCATCTGACAGCGAGAACTCGCCAAGGCAGCACACGATATTGGGCCAACATTGGAATTGATGGGACAAAGAATGGCCCAACAATGGCCCAACTGAGCCATGTGTTTACCAATATTGGAATTACCTGGGCCAATAATGAACTATCATAGCCAATGTTTTTCCAATATTGGTGATGCACTGGAATAAGCTGTCCAATATTGGACTGTGAAAGCCAATGGCTTGCCAATATTGGATAAATGCTGGCATAACCTGTCCAATATTCGACTGTCAAAGCCAATGGTTTTCCAATATTGGATATATGCTGGCATAATTTATCCAATATTGGACTGCCAAAGCCAACGGCTTTCCAATATTGGATATATACTGGCATAACCTGTCCAACATTGGACTGTCAAAGTCAATGGTTTTCCAATATTGCATATATGCCGCCATAAGTTATCCAATATTGGACTGGGAAAGCCGATAGGTTTCCGATATTGGATTTATGCTGGCATAAACTGTACAATATTGGACTGTCAGAGTCAATGGCTTTCCAATATTGGATACATGCCAGCATTAGCTGTCCAATATTGGACTGTTAGAGCCAATGGCTTTCCAATATCGGATGCATGCTGGCGTAAGCTGGTCAATATTCAACTGTCAAAGCCAACAGCTTTCCAAGATCAACTCATGCTGGCATAAGCTGGTCCAATAGTGGACTGTAAAAGCCAATTTGGATTTCCAATTTTGGAAGTATGCTGACTTGTGCTGGTCATATTGCACTGCCAAGGCCAAGGGCTTTCTAATATTGAATGTATGCTGTCATATGCTGTTCAATATTGGAGTGTTAAAGCCACAATTTCCAGTATTGGAAATACAGGGATGAAACTGGGCAAAGCAGCTTTGGAGAAATTTTGGGAGCAGAAAAAAACTATTTTCATGCAGGCTAGCAGCAAAAACGAGGTCTTGGAGCAAGTTGGGACCAGCATTCGTCAGTTTTAAGAATTAAAATAGAGGCTAAATGTCACCTGGTTTTAAAAACTCAATGAAATATGGCATATAGATAACTTAATCAATGGGAACTCAACAGTGGTTTAATTAACCTTCTATTTGAAACATTTTTCACAAACTTACATGAAAATTAGACAAATCATATAAAGCAAAACTGCACGACAGTGCGACACGTGATGGAACCAACTTGCAAAGTGGTAAAAGTAAGCAAACAGATACATATATACTGCGCCTCGATCTGGCCGGCCGCGCTCGCTCTGCGGAAATGTAAGCGTGGGACTCTCGAGCCCCGTTAGCTTACTGATGCTGCAAGACGCTACTTTGTCGTCGCGAATCATTTGCCCTTCGAACGGTCGCGAAGCCGTTGCGCCCGGCGTACCCTACGTAGCATATTTCAGAAACCGTTCGCGCAGCATCGCAAGCTTCTTACTGCGAGCGTCGGTGATTCATCGTGTGTTGAAAGTCGGACGATGTGCTGTTCGAGGTGTCTTTTATGTGCAACTCTTTCGTAAAAAAAATTGAAGTTTAAAAACGCGAACCTAACAGTGTACAAACAGTTTTAAATTTATTGATAAAAAATATATTTATATATTTATAGATATATTTGTGTACATCGTGCGCAAAAAATAGTCGCGCTTAGTTCTTCATTCTAAATTATAATGTAAGTTATACGACGCAAAACATACTGTCGTCACACTTGCCCCGTTTAGAACCACTTTTGGACTGGACAGTTTCTTTAGAAGTTCGAAAGCTGACCTTCAAAGAGCCGTCCTGTTAAATCGGTAATGACAGCAAGGTAGACGCTATGCGTGTATAAGGCCAATCCTGTCTCCGGTTAGAGTCACGTGACTACTGTCTCAAAGCTGGCGATAAGGCAGAGCACGGAACCTGCCTAAAGCACAAGGTCACGCATAAGTTCTACTGCACTATCAACCTTGGGTAGAAGTGACAAATTCTCTCGCTCCGTTCATTGTTGAGAGGCCCCTGAAGATAAGCCTTTGTAAGCGCACCCCACCCCCGTTCTGGCCTGCTTGCTTTGTACTCCTTCTCTCTTTTTTCTTTCTCTCCCTAAGCTGAAGGCGCGGTTGCTGTGCGTACTCGCCGGACTTGAATCCGCTCTCTGTGCGCGGGTAAAGGCAGAAGTGTGATCATGTGGTTTGACCGATGACACATTACCCGTTGACAAACTCGGAATGCCTGCGTCGCAAGGACCGGACCTAGTTTCGCGCGTGATGCGGCCTGTGGGGTGCAGGCTCGCTGTGGATTTCGCTTGTGTGGTAAATGGTATCTCGTTCGAAAAGTCCTACCCGTGTCGATTTCTTCAAAGAGGCCCAAGACATTCTTGTGAACAGTTTAGTGTCCGGTTCGGCAAATGGCAGCGTGTGCTACATTGTGTTGAATCTTCACGGATCACTTCCTTGTAGTTTTTGTGTTTGAGTGGTTGTTCTGCAGTGCCCGTGTTGACATATAAGTCGGATTACATCTTTCAAGTCCAGTATTTTCAACGTAGGTGTGCTGCAACCTACTTGATGATCATTGTCCGTTCTTGTATGGGCAATCTTCCGGATAACCTCTAGAATTGGGCATTGCCTATCTCCTGGCAGCTGGGAGAATAATTTTCCCGCAATCTTACCGACAGTCGCCTGCCATTATCTGTCTGAAATAATGTCACAACCGCAGGTAGAATACTGACTTTTTTATTCTACCTGCGTTTCGCAAAAACACGTTTCGTTGCCACCTTTCTGGTCGACATTTACGTTTCATCGACATTCGTTACGCGAATTGCGCGCTGTAGGGGCATTTCGTCGCGCGTGTATTCCTGAGGCGCGTGCTCACCGAACCAGCCCACCCTTTCACGCCGCTTCATGCTAATCTGAAGCGGTTCATTGCAACAAAAAAAGAAGAAAAGAAAACATATTTTCAGTTTTTTTATGAAACATCGTGTGTTGATGAAACGATCTGTCTCTAGTGGTAGAATTTTGGCGAAACAATTCTGTCAGCTGCCGGGAGACTGGACACTACCCAAGAATTACCCCGGTTGTTGCTTGCTTTGCAGTCTTTTTAATTGTATCACAGCTGAGTAGTACCTCTTCACATATTACGAATTGCTGTGATTGTGCTTGTCTACAAAATAAGCAGTGTGTAATAAACTGTTCGGAGATTTCAAAACAATCCCTTGTGTCTGTTTACCTTCCTTTTTGCAAACAACTTGGCGAGGGCACTTGCAAAGAGCTGGGCGAGTGCAACGATGGCCAAAAATCAGCATGACGGCCAACATTGGATCGGGTCGCGCTTCCAGTGTTGTCCAATATTACGCCGGTCTTCGCCAATGTGGGAGCACCTTGGCTGGAACCATGGTTTAGCGATGGCCCAACATTGGCACCAATGATGGGGCCGACATCGGCTGGAACGAGGGCTGAACATTGGCCCAACATTGGCACCGATCACTGGGCCAACATTGGAAAGGGTAGCGCTGCCAGTATTGCTCAATATTGAGGCCGGTCTTTGCCAATGTTAGGCCAATGTCGGACCGACATTGGTGTGCTGCCTGGGCGGATGCCATCAGGAGCAAGCGACCGAAAAGAAAAAGGCAGCACCGGATCGGCGTTTCAAGATCTGGCAGCGACGCTCCCTGCAAAAAGTGTCCAGGAAAGCGCGACGAGCGCCACTTCAAGAAGAAGAAGCGGTCCTCGTGGCTGGGAGGGGGAAAACTCCAGGACCCCCACCCCAACGAGCCACGGACCCACAGCTCAAGTGCGAGAAAGGAGCCTGGAGGAGGCAACAATGAGCCTGGAATGACGCAACGAGGTTCCAAACGGAAACAGAGCTCATCGCCCGTGGTTCAGCCAGGCATCACGTCGGACGGGGAAACCAAGGGAGATCTCCGGGACTGCAGCTTCGCGCCTGCACGCAAGTCCAAGGAAAAGAACTTGAACAGTCCGAGTGAGGCCAAGAGCAAACAGGGTGTGGGTTAGATGTGAAGAAGGACTTTCGAGGAAAAGGGGAGGGCTAAACGTGTTTTTTTGTGTAATTGAGTCGACTAGGTTATTCGGCAAAGTTATTAGCTTTTCTTTTTCCGGAAGTGCGAGTTTTGCGTTTCGTTCGGCTTTAGCTCGTTGCGTTGGCGGTAAAGTTCCTTTGAAACGGTCTTCTCCTGAGTAGAGTTTGTATTATGGAGGACGTGCCCGAATTTAATAGGGATATGCCCTAGGTGAGTTACGTTATACGGTTTGTAATGCGTTGTTTTCACGGGAGTCCGTTTTATTTTGGGTTGAACGTTAAAGGGCTTTTATTAGTGTGCAAAAGTTTCTTGCGCTAAAGCAACCCGTCGGAAGAACTAAGTTTCTTTCTGCGTGTCTTTCGTTGATAGGATAGCACGGAACTTTCACAAGGCAACCTTTATTGTTGTTTGTTTTGGTCTGGCGGATTGGAGAGATTGGGTGCTGGGCGCTTGCCTGCGCGGAGTGTGGTTTGGTATTGTGGGTTTTGTTACTGCCACTTCCAAGAGTGGACCCCGGCTTGGACTTCAGTCATCAGCCCAGCCGTGAGACCGCGTCTTTCAAGGGACCAGTGTGGACTGCTTCCCCTCAA